AAAAGCAGGTTCAGTTGAATGATGAGATTGGTAGCCAGAGTGTAGAGGGTTTAGAAGAAAGTGAAAGGAGAGAAAGTAGAGGCATTGACTTTCTCAAGGAATTTAGCCATGAAGGAGAGAATGGATAAAGAGTGATAGCCAATAGGGATGGTCACATCAAGTGAGGTGTTTTGTTTTTTTAAGGATCAGGAAGAAATGGACATATTATAGGCAGGAAGGAAGGGGCCAGTAGGTAAGGAGACTAAAGACAAGAGACAGAGTAGGAGAAATTTACTAAAGAAGTTGGGTGGCAATGGGAAAGGTGTATACCAGAAGGGTGCATGCCAAGAGTTTGACCTTAGAAAAGAGAAGGCCCACCTCCTCATCTGATAGCAGAATAAAAGAGATATTGGGACTAGAGTCTCTTGGGTCATTGGTATAGTCTGAATATATTTGAATGCCATGAAATGAAGAGGGAAGAAGTGAGAGCTTTGAATAAATAATCTTAATTTTTTCAATGAACTATGAGGTGAAGTCCTTAGCTGAGAGGGTTGGGGGGAGAGGATGCTTTGGTAGAGTTAAGGAAATATGAGACAGTTTGGACCAGCTGCTGTGGAGATTTGAATAACAAATCAATTAGGGAGGAATAAAATGTTTGCTTTTTTACAGTGAGGGCCCAGTTAAGATTAGATAACATAAATTCATAGCGGGACCAATCAGCACATTTGGTAATTTCTTCCAACTTTGTTCAATATCTCATGAATAGGATTGAGGAAGTAGCATGGTAGGAACAATCTACGAGTGATTGTGAACTCGTAGTTCTTCAGTAGTTTGATTGGTATGCTATTGAATAAGTAAATTAATTTAGGTAGTATTTCCATTTTTATTATTTTGATTTGGCCTTCCCATGAGCAATTAATATTTCTCCAATTATTTAAATCTATCTTTATTTGTGTGAAGAGCATTTTATAATTGTATTCATATAGTTCCTATGTGTGTCTTGGCATGTTGACTCCCAAGTATTTTATATTGCTATTACTCTATAAATTATTCTCCTGGTTCTACTCACTGCACTTTGCATCAATTCATACAAATCTGTGCTCATTTGCTTCTGTATATTGCAAACAGTGTGGCCTTGTTTAGTCCCTTATGATTTCCAATTCATAGTTGCCTTTTTATGCTTTTCTTGAGGCCTGTGTTTGAATCCCATTTTCTACTTAGCTCTGGTCTTTTCATCAGGAATGCTTAAAAGTCCTCCCTTTTATTAAATGTCCATTTTTCCCTTATGGGATTATACTCAGTTTTGCTGGGTGGGTTATTCTTGGTTTTTATCCTAGATTTCTTCCCTTCTGGTATATTATATGCCCTCCATTCCTTTATAGTCATGGCTGCTAAATTTTATACAATCCTGATTTTGGGTATATGGTACTTGAGTTATCTCTTTCTGGCTACTTGTATTTTCTCTTTGATATGAAAGCTCTGAATTTTGGCAATAACATTCCTAGGAGTTTTATTGTATTCTTTCACTTTCTACTTTACCCTCGGATTCTAAGAAATTTGGACAATTTTCTTTTTAAGATTTCTTGAAATATGATGTCTAGGCTGTTTTTTTGTTCATGGTTTTAAGGTAGTCCAATGATCCTTAAATTATCTTTCTTTGACCTGTTTTCTAAGTCAGTTGTTTTTCCTATGAGATATTTCACATTTTCTTCTATTTTTTCAGTCCTTTGACTTTGTTTTATTATTTCTTGATGCCTCATGGAGTCATTAGCTTCCATTTAGCCAATTTTAATTTTTAAGGAGAAATTTTCTTCAGTAAGGTTTGTATCTTTTTTTTTAAGGCAGTTAGGGTTAAGTGACTTGCCCAAGGTCACACAGCTAGTAAGTGTCAAGTGTTTGGTCTGAGGCCAGATTTGAATTCAGGGCCAGTGCTCTATCCACTGCGCCACCTAGCTGCCCCCTGTATCTTTTTTTTTTTTAAACCAAGATGTTCATTTTCTTTTTATGATTTTCTTGGATACAATTTATTTTCCCATTTTTTCCTCTACAGCTCTTACTTAAATTTTAAAATCTTTTTTTTTTTACTTTTTTAAAACTTCTTCTTTAACTCTTCTAGGAATCTTTTTTGGGGTTGTGTCCAAATTGCATTTTTCTTTGAGGCTTTGCTTTAGATGTTTTCAAGTCATTGTGTTTTTCTGTGTTTGTGTCTTGCACTTCCCTGTCACCATAGTAGTTTTTTACGGTTAGGTTCTCTGTTTGCTCATTCTTCCAGCCTGCTTCTTGGCTCTATTCACTTTTGAGGGATATATATCTGGCCTGAGTTTCTATCTTTTTATGCTCTTTTGCTGCTTTTACAACTCAGTTGAGCGGAGGGGGATCCTGCAAGTTTTTCAATGCTTCCAAAGTGGTATGATCCAAAAAAGGGTCTATTCATTGACCTTCTAGTCTGAGTTCTATAAGATTCTGACCCAGGTTTGGTTTTGTTGGATTGTACATGATTGTGTTTTAGTAGACTGCTACTGGATGCAGTCATTGTTAGCCCAATGGGAAGTTAATTCCACTGCAGGCTTATGTGTGGAACTAAAATTTATAATTGAGTCCCTGATCTGTTCTTGGGCTCAGAACCACACAGCTAAGTTTCTGAAATATTCCTTACTTCCTACACAGTGAGAGGCTTACTTGCTTGTGACCATCCCTCTCCACCTTAGAACTGTGAACTGGAACTAGGTAACGGGCAACAGAGTTTCCAGATGGCATTCATTCCTGCTCCCAGCACTATTTCATGAGTTCCCTAGGATTTCTTTCTACCCCAGTAGTCTCAGCCCCCTTACCATCCCTAGGTGTTCAAATGTTCCTGGTTTCTGCTACTGAGCTACGTTTCTGGCTAGCACCCACCCCAGTGTCCAAAGACCTCTCTGGTAAACTGCCCTGAGCTGAAAAAATAATTCATTGTGAATCTTTTCTTAGTTTTCCCAATCAGAATTTGGTCTTCCATGTTTTCTGGGTTGTTGTGAAGGAGGGAAGCTAGATGAACTAGACAAAAATGTTTTGTTTCACTGTGCCCCCAAATATGTTACTTTATTTGATGAAACATAAGCTCCATGAGGACAGAGATTGTTAAATTTTTGTCTTTGTATCACCAGAACCTAACTCATTTTTTATTAATAATTCTAGATTGATTATATGGCTTTGAGCAAGCCTCTTAACATCTCTGAGCCTCGGTTTTCTCATTTGTCACAATGGGGCAATGAACTTTCACAACCTGCATCTCAGGGTTGGTATAAAGTGCTATACAAATTGTAGGTAATAATATGAATTGTCACTATTGTTATTTGGGATAAGGAAATGGAAAAACAGTCCAGTGTCTTTGCCAAGAAAACTCTATTGACAGTTTTGGTGTGGAACAACTGTACAACAACAAAAACCATTGTTATTAGATAGTGTGCTCTCCTTTCCATAGGGACGCTCTTTAGGCTCTCTCAGACATAAAAATAATACCACACATGGAACATCTACTTCTGGTTTGTAGAAAATGAGTAGTGATGGTCCACTGGAATCTAAGAACTCAAAGCATTTCTCACACAGCAAACTGAGCAAACCCCAGTTTACCTTCTAGAGAAATATGGCCCTAAAAAATTAGTCCCATCTATTTTTGTTTTGACAGTCAATATAATAAGTACCATTTATTGCTCTCCCAGATGGAGTTTTCGCTTATGACCCTATACACATTTATTAAGTGTCTACTATTTGCCAGGCACTGTGCTAAGTGCTGGGTATACAAAAAAAAAAAAAGAGGCAAAAGGCAATCCCTACCCTCAAGGAGCTCACAATCTATTGACAACATGCAAAAACAATTATGTGCAAACTATGTGCAGGATAAATTGGAAATAATCGACAGAGGGAAAATACTAGCATTAACAAGAATCTAGAAAGGTTTCTTATAAAGGGTGGGGTTTTAACTGGGACTTAAAATAAGCCAGAAGGTGGAGATGAGAGGGAGAGCATTCCAGGCATGAAGAATAGCCAGTGAAAATGCCCTGAGTCAGGAGATGGAGTCCCTAGTGCAAGGAACAGCAAGGAGGTCACTGTTACTGGATCACAGAGTATGTATCCCTTGATGAGTGAATAACCACTAGCAAAACTACCCACATCTCTTACCTGTAGGACAGCAGTCAGCAGTGTCTTTACTCACAAGTGCAAACCATAGAGCAAATAAGTCACATCACTGGGTCCCCTTGACTGACCTAAAGGTACAGGCAGGAAGAAAAGAAAAAAGGAAGATGAAGAAGTGGAAATAATGTTATTTAAATAAGGCTTTAAAGTTTACAAAGGATTTCCCTCACAAAACTTATATGAGATAGAACAGTAATCCCCACCTTACAGATGGGGAATGTGGAGGCATAGAGAGGTAAGGTGACTTGCTTAGAGTCACAGAGCTAGTAAGTGTTGAAGCTAAGACTCAGACTCAGGGTCTTCTGCCTCTAAGGTCAGCGTTTTTCTCCCCTAAACTATTATGCTTCTTAAGAGAAAAGTAGCATCAGGGGAACTCAGTGGTGCAGCGCATAGAGTGCCAGGCCTGGAGTCAGCAACACCTGAGTTCAAATACAGCCTCAGACACTTGCTAGCTGCGTGACCCTGGGCAAGTCATTTACCTCTGTTTGCCTTAGTTTCCTCATCTGTAAAATGAGCTGGAGAAGGAAATAGGAAACCACTCTAGTATCTTTACCAAGAAAACCCCAAATGGGGTCACAAAGAGTCAGATATGACTGAAAAACAATTGAACAGTAGTAGTAGTAGTAGTAGTAGTAGTAGGGGTGTGTGTGTGTGTGTGTGTGTGTGTGTGCATGTGTGTGGTGGGGGGGGATGAAAATTTCTGGAACAGAGAAAGAGGAAAAAGAAAGAAATATGTGTATGTGACATGTTAGAGTAAAACGAATAGCACCCATTCCACAGGTCACCTTTTGGTTTAGGCTGGCCCTCTCCTAGGGCTGACAGTGTTTTATTGATCCTTCTTCTTTCAGGGAACCTGGAACAAGCCAATGAAGAGTTACGAGCAATTATCAAAAAGATCTGGAAAAGGACCAGCATGAAGCTCCTAGACCAAGTAGTTCCCCCAGCTGGTGGTAAGCGCTTTGCTGAGGGCCTCCCTCCTCTCTCCTGCTGCAATGGTTTTTCTTCCTGACACACAGGAAGAAAGTGCCTAAATGGTGGTCTTGAATCCAATAGACCTGGGGAATCATAGAGGAGAAAAGTGTCTCCAGATCCTATATGTAGGGCTTGCAAGCACTCTTAAAGAGACTGGAGTGATATACTTCTGCGGAGCAGGCCAAGCAAATTCCTTTGATACCAAGATGCTAGGCAGGGACAGCCACAAGCAGAGCTCTAGTGAAAGTCCAGAAAGTAACTGTTCTCCCACAGAAAATTGGACAAACCTCTGTTTATTTTCTAGGAAGCTTGACCCTGAAAAATAAGTCTCTTCAATTATTATTTTGTCTAGAATCATTTATTTCATCCTAGACTACATGGGCAGAATTTTGAATGGCCTTCTTGTTTGGGAATGGGAATGGTGCTCCCTTGAAACTAGCAGATCAAAGGTACCATCACTTCAGCATCTATAGGCTCTGCTTGTAGAAAGTACGGAAGCAGGAGAGGTCATCCAGATCTCACCAGATTTAGCCTGAAAATCCCCATCCCTTTCCCCAATCTCTTGAAGTAAGGGCTTGCCTAGGGAAGGTAAAGTGCTTAAGTTTTTCTCTTGGGAGCCTGACTGGGGGCCAGGGCAGAGGGTGGGGAAGAGGGGCTGCAGCACAAGGGTCTCAGTTGCCTAACCCATCCCTCAAATAGGGAATTAATATATTGTTTCTGATCTTGGGTGTCTAGGGACTTGATTCATTCATCTAGTAAGAATTTATCAAACATCTGTCTAAACAGCAGATTAAAAATTAATTAAAAATTAAACAGTCCCTGCCCTAAAAGTGTTTCCATCTAGTAGGGGAAATGGCAGATATACAAATAAATAAATAAATATAAAACATACACAAAGTAAACACATAATAATTTCTGGTGGAAAGGGCAGTAACAACTGGGAGATCTGGCTTGGCTTTCCATAGAAGGTAGCCCTTACATGCTGCTGAAATCTATATATCCAGTCCTAGTCTCCTGAGCTACAATCCCACATCACCAATTAGAGATTTCTAACTACATGTTCCATATTCATTTCAAACTCAACATGTCCAAAACAAAACTAATTCTTCACCACCCCAACCCCAAATCTTTCCCTGTTTCTAAAATCCCTTGTTTTAGTTGAGGGCAATGCCTTTCTTCTAGTCACCCTTGTTTGCAACCTCAGCTCTTCACTTTCCCTCACACCGCTTATCTAATCAGTTGCCAAAGTCCTGTAGATTCTTCCTCTGCAATATGTCACATCTGTCTACTCTGCCTTCAACCAGTCACCACCCTTTCCTAAGCCCTCATCATCTTCCACCTGGACTATTGCAATAATCTCCTAATTATTCTCCTAGCCTTCAATCTCTTACGTAGGCTCTCCATCCTCCACACAACTGCCAATGTGACAGTCCCAAAGCACAAATCTGGACCAATCACTCAGTTGCTCCAGAAGTTCAGATTCCTATTGCCTCTGAAATAAAATAAAAACTCCACTACTTGATATTTAAAACCTTTCACAATATGGCTCCAGTCTACTTTTTCAAGCTTATTGCATATGATTCCCCTTTATACAGTCCCAGCCAACCTACCTATTTGTTATTCCCTGTATATTTCACCTCTTATCTCCAAGCCTTTGCATAAGCTGTCCTCCAGGCCAGAAATGTACTTCTTCCTCACCTTTGCCGTATACAATGCCTAGATTCCTTCAAGGCTCAGTTTAAGTACTATCTCCTATACAAAAGCTAACCAGATTTCCCCAGTTGCTAGGGTTTTTTCCATCCAAAAGTAATTTGTATTTCATATAAATATATTCATACACATATGTAAATACAAATACATACATAAAATATAGAGTATGTGTACATATATAAATATAGTGTGAATACATATATAATGTATGTATACATATACATATATAGAGTATTATATATATTATATGGTGTGCATAAATATATAGCATATATACATATGTAATGCATGTATACATATATGCATATACTTATGTACATGAGTTATATTATACCTATATAGTGTATATACACATATACGTCTATAAATACGTACTGTGTATACATATATACCTATACATGTGTGTATGATATGTACACATATATACATATGTGGGAACATAGTATATATACATACATGTAAACGTAGTGTATATACATATGCATATTATATTTATAGTGTATGTGTGTATGTATATGCTATGCATATATATGCTATTTACTTATTTGTGTCACCACCATACATGTAAATATAGTGTATGTACATATGTATATTATATTTATAATGTGTGTGTATGTATATGCTATGCATATATATATGCTATTTACTTATTTGTGTCACCACCACCTCCCAAATAGAATGTAATATAAATTCCTCGAGGGGAGAGATCATTTCATTTTTGTCTTTGTATCTCCAGCATCTAGCATGAAGCCAAGTACATAATCGGTGCTTAATAAATTAGTATTGATTGATTGAAAAAAGACTATTGGTAACTATTGGCAGCATGTAAGGGCTACCTTCTATGGAAAGCCAAGTCAGATCTCCTAGTTGTTACTGCCCTTTCCATCAGAAATTATCACGTGTTTACTTTGCATATGTTTTATATTTATTTATTTGTGTATCTGCCATTTCCCCTACTAGATGTAAACACCTTTAGGGCAGGTACTGTTTAATTTTTAATTACTTTTTAATCCACTGTTTAGATAGATGTTTGATAAATTTGGTAATGTAGTTTCATTCAATGGTAGGAAGAGTCAGGCTTTCCAGTTAGAAAACAGAACTTAAGCTCAGAGGGGAAGAAGGCAGCCAGGTCTAGGTTCCAATCTTGTCCCTTCGTTTTGCTCCCTTCTTAAAACCCCAAAGTGTTGCCTTGAGCGATTCACTTAACTCCCACGGGCCTCAATTTTAGCATATGTAAAATGAGGGACTTAGACTGAGGTCCCTTTCAGCTTTCTAGGGGTTTGGAACTGAACAAGAATTAATCAGGAATTATTGATAGGAAACATGAAATTGCATTCCTCGTCACACACACTAACTTTGCTTCCTCCCAAACCTTCCTCTCCTCGTCCCCTGGTGCTCCACGACCCTCTCAGACGACGAGGTGACTGTCGGCAAGTTCTACGCCACCTTCCTGATCCAAGAATATTTCCGAAAATTTAAGAAGCGCAAAGAGCAAGGACTAGTGGGCAAGCCCTCCCAAAGGAATGCTCTGTCTCTCCAGGTGAGAAGCTAAAGCGAGGACTGTCCCTTCTTGTGTGTGTCATTGGACCTCTTTGGCAGTCTGAAAAGACAGGCCTATGGACCTCTTCTCAGAATAATGAGTTGGGTTTTTTTTTAAATTCATAATTGAAGGAAATGCTAAGTTTCAGATGAAGGCTAATAAAATACCGAGTGGATTCCCAAAAGTTAAGAGCCTCTAGGCTAAAAGAATTAGCACACCCCTCAGATGTGATCTCCTGTCACTCTTCTCACTTGTTGCCTGTGGGTTCAAGGTCAGTCCTACAGAGTGAAGACATCGGAGGTTTCCAAACCCAATGAAAGCTTCCCTACAAATTTCCTTTTTTTTTTTTTTTTTAGTGAGGTAATCGGGGTTAAATGACTTGCCCAAGGTCACACAGCTAGTACATGTCAAGTGTTTGGTGTGAGGCCGGATTTGAACTCAGGTCCTCCTGACTTTAGGGCCGGCACTCTATCCACTGCGCCACCTAGCTACCCCACCTACAAATTTTCTTAAGGTTGACATGCCACCGTACTCTCACACTCTGAATGCACTGGGAGGAACCATGCTCATCCTAGGACGTGGGATCTCCCAATATGGATATGGCTGTCCCTGTTTCTCTGCTATGTCACTTTTATAGGTACCTCACTGTACAAACTGTCAGCCAACAACTGGACTAAACAGACTCGGGGAGAGAGGGCTTTCTCCCCTCCACGGGTCTGCGCAGCTGGACTACAGTCCAGGGCAGACCATTTAACCTCAGTGAAGCTCCCACACTGTACTAGGTGCAACTTTCAATGTGAACACAAGCTGATAAAGGATACAGACAGGTATAGCCAAATACATGTAATATGTAATATCATATAATGTAATATATACATATATATGTATACATACTATACATGTATACACAAACTATAGAAACAGGTACACACTGGTTACCTGCTAAACAGAGAAGCAGTAGATTTGGTCTGGTCAAGGGTGGAACCTCGAGGTAACAGGGAGACTGCTGGCTTGATGCAACCTGGATGTGGGAGGCTGTGACATGGAAGAAAGAGGGTTCTCACACCCCCTGGCCGTATTCTAGGCTGGTCTTCGTACGCTTCATGACATCGGGCCGGAGATTCGACGGGCCATCTCTGGGGACCTGACAGCTGAGGAGGAGTTGGACAAGGCAATGAAGGAAGCTGTTTCTGCTGCCTCTGAAGATGACATCTTTAGGGTAGGTGGATGCCGGACCCTACAGCACAGATCTCTCATACACCATTTTTTTTTAAAAAGTGGACAGAGAAAAACAATCAACCGAGTAGGCCTACCTCTGACTCCAATCCATACTAGCAACACCCTGCACTTATTGCCAACTAGAAAGGTGGGAGGAAACGGGGAAGAACGAGTTAACTCCTGAACTGGGAGGAGTGTCCCCTGTTCGGGGAATGGATTTCTTCCTCTGCACTTGGAGGTGGACCTTTCAAGGGAGATATCTCTATAGCAGAGAAGAGCTCCTGACCATGTTTGTGTCAGGGCTCATTCCAACAACTTCTGTCCTGGAGCTTTGGCAAGAACTGGGATGGAGGGGAGGCCCTTCTTCAGTGTAAGTAAACTAGTGTTTCATCATCATTATCATCATCTTCCCATCTCCCTTTTTTTCTCTCTCTTTCCTTTCCCCAACTCTTGTAGGCTCATAAATAGGCTTACAGATTTTAAGCTTGAAGGAATCTTAGAGTTCACTGATTCTGCCTCCTTCATTTTACATATGAGGAAACTGAGGTGCAGAAAATGTAGCTGACTTGTCCAGGGTCACACAGGCAATGAGCAGCAGAGCTGGGTTTCAAACCCCATTACTTTGACTCCAAATTCTATGTTCTTTGTGCTGTACCGTGATGTCCTATTGGACTCCCTTCCTTCCCTTCTCTCCTTCAATCAAAAGCAAATTGACTTAGGGAAACAAATCTCTACTGGAGACTATACTACCAAGGCTTCATACAATTTCACTATTTTTAGAATACATCAAGTTGAAAAAGCCCTCCTATCAAAGCTCTAGTACACCCTGGTATCAGAAAAGTAACCAACTTGTGAATAGCCACTCACTCATCCACCCAGAGTAATCTATCAGTCAGCAGGCATTTAAGGAGCACCTACCATGTGCCAGGCACTGTGCCAGGTTCTGGAGACTCAAAGACAAAAATGAAACAATACTTGCTTTCAAGAAGTTTTTTATTTTATCAAGACAAGAAAAGATTATTGGGAGAGAATACTGGCTGAATGTCTTTAACTCTGAGGGATCTCCTGGGAGGAGGACAGATTGTATCTGAACAACGTGTTCTAGCAGATTGTTGGTCTTTATTATCTTCCCAGCCTGGATGGGAAAATCATAACCATATGAGTGTATTGGTTCCCCTTCTTGAAATCTAGCTTGGAAGGGAAAACTTGCACTCCCCATCACTGGCTCAGAGTCCAACCAAGAACCTGATTGATATTCAGCCATGCCATCTGGAAATACTTTTCAAATCCGGGCCTAAAAGTCATCACCAGCTTTAAAGGGTTTATTTTTTTAAATCTCTAGACAACTTTTGGAATTATTGGGATGTTAGTCTCTAACTTCTGTCCCTTTAATTCTGTCCTTTTCATTTCTCCTAGTTATTTCCCAAAGGGCAGGTTCCTCTTGCTCTTAAGTGTCCATGTCAATCAATAAGTCAGTCAATCAGCATTTATTAAACACTGACTATATATGCCAAGCACTGTGCTAAGTGATAAGGTCCTGTATTTCAGCTTCTACTACAAGTAACCCCAGAAGTGGCCGATGGGGACAAAACTTTTCTGCTTCTGGGATTTTGATTGAGGATTATTTCTCCAAAGGAGGGGGAGGAGACAGCTGAGGGAACATTATCTTCTCCCCAACTCCTACCCTGTCTTGCTTACAGAGGGCCGGTGGCCTGTTTGGCAATCATGTCAGCTACTACCAAAGCGATGGTCGAAGCTCCTTCCCCCAGACCTTCACCACCCAGCGCCCACTGCATATCAACAAGGCGGGTAACAGTCAAGGCGACACGGAGTCACCATCCCATGAGAAACTGGTGGACTCCACATTCACTCCCAGCAGCTACTCATCCTCTGGTTCCAATGCCAACATCAACAACGCCAACAACACTGCCCTGGGCCGCTTCCCCTGTCCCACCGGTTACCCCAGTACGGTCAGCACAGTGGAGGGCCATGGGACCCCCTTGTCCCCTGCCATCCGGGTGCGCGAGACAGCATGGAAGCTCAGCTCCAGGAGGTAAGCCAGGTGGAGAGATTTGCGTTTGAAGTATGTGGGGCATAAGCAAGGTGGCCTGGTGGAAAATGAGCCAAGGAAGTTAGGGGAGGAGGGGTGGCGAGGGAGAGTGACAGAGATAGAGACAGAGATAGAAAACTCAACCCCTCAGTCTGCCCATTTTCCCTTAGGCTTGTAGTGTGTCTAATGATAGCCTGGGAAGGAGACGGGCACCATATTGGCCTCACACCTGACTTGAAGAATCTTTCATTTCACTTCATATTCTGGGAGCAATAAAACCTCTTCCCCACAGATAGAGGGAATCTCCATAATGCCAGGCTACTGGACAGAGCCCTAAGTGGCTAAACTGTGATACTGCTGCTCCTTTTCCCTCCCCTGCCCCACTAACCCCCAACTGACATCCTATACAATTGTAAAAAAAAAAAAAAAATGGAGAAAAGCCCACCTGTGCAAAAACCTGATAATTATTTATCATTCAAAACTGTGAATTAGTGCCTCCACAAAGGGGAAAGCCCATTCTATTTCTGTCCCTCCTACTACCACAGTTATCCCCTCTTCTCTGTTTCAATGACCCAGAGCTCCTCTCCTTTATTAAAACCTGCTCCCCCCTGCCCCCAGGATCTGTTCTCAATAATTTATACCTTGGTATAAAGGTGTCCCTGTGTCACCTCTCCCAGAACAATTTGTATTTTAGCTTGATCACTAGTTGTAAATTCAAAGGCTTTGATACCTGCCCAGGTCTGGTGGGGAAGGCATTTGAAGAGGGAGCCTGCCTATTTTGCCCATTATACGCCAAGACTTGCCCTACCCAAATGGTCTCAGCTGTGCTGTCTTCTTTCCTGACTTTGTGTTCGCTGCTCACTCCCCCCATTTTTGCTCCCTAATGGCACCAGGATGCATTGTTGTAGAATGTCATGATGGCAGGTGCCTCCTCTGCTGTGCACCTCTGGAACAACAGGCAGGGTCAGAGAATGATCTATACTGGCAGCTTCGTATCCCCTAAGTAAAGAAGGAAGAAAGGAAGAAGAAAAGAGGGGTCCCACACACACACACACACACACACACACACACACACACACTTGCATATCATATTTATTTAGTATTCTTTCCAGATGAGACAGCGTACAGATGATAGGCTCAACAAATTACCATAACGTCTGATGACCAGAGAGTTTTCGGGGACCGGGTCTCTTCTGTTCCCTTCCCTGCTTTCTGTTTGAGGAGGAATGAAATACAAATTATCCTGCAGATCCCAGACCGTGTGATTGTGTGACTATCTCTATGAGGTGGAGTAAACAGTGGGTAATAAAAAGAGTGAGAAAGTGTGCCTTAGATGGAAGCAGGGTAAGATTTTCTCTCCCTAAACAGGGCACTCATCTGGTGATCTGCAGTAGTATCTGGTTTAAACACACACACACACACACACATACATTCACACACAAGTTTTATTTTTGTTTTAAGACTATAATCTTTTGACCTTACTTTGTGGAGGATGAGGAATATAATCTAAGGGGGACCATGGGTCAAAGTGGACTGTTTGATTTTTTGCATTTATCTAAAGGCAAAAGGCCATGTGGTGATATGAATACAGAGCTAGAGAGGTCTGGATTTAAGTCTACCTGCTCACCAAACATACACACACATACTGTCTTTGTGAACTTGGACAAGTCACAACCTCTTAGGACTCTAGGTAATCCTATAAGACCAGAAGTCATAGAGAAGGTGCTGACCTATATTAGAGAGGGAGTTTCCTCTTTTGGGGAGTCTCACATATGAATTTAATCATGTATCCTATTTAAAAAGGCACAGTACCTTAATGCTGCATTAATGCCCTCCTAAGATAGCAAAAACAAAACAAAATAAAAGAACCAGAAAGCAAAAAAAAAAGAAAAACAAAAAACTACGGAGGTGATACCAGCATGTTAGGTTGACTCTCAATGGAGAATTTGTGGGAAAATATAGACAAAGATGGCACAGGTATTCCCCCAAGTCATCTCCCACACCTGGAATACACTCGTTCCCCTCCTCAAATGCTCTACAACCATTCGTCTTTGTGTCTCTTCTGCCTCCATCATGTTCTACCCTGTGTCATACCATCTATGTATATGCAAAGTCTCCAGGGGTAAATGCACAGTTCTTAATGTTAGGAGACCTGAGTTGAATTCCCATAACTATAGACAAAGTACTTCACCTACCTGCTTCACACAGACGTTGTAAGGAAAGTTTGTAAATTTCAAAATGCCAAATAAATATGAGTTCTCATTATTAGACTAACTTCTGTGGAGAAAGGGGTAGATATTTTTCATATTTATATCCTCAATGTCTAGTATAGTGCCTCACACATAGGATGTGCTTAGTAAATGTTTATCAACTCTACATGAACTGAGGGTTAAGGCATGAGTTCCAGCTTTATCATTTTCTCCATTCCCAGCAATGAAATCATGGATCTACCAAAGTATTGCATACCTAAAACACTGACAAGAAGTTTTTTTTTTTAAATAATAAATAAAACCAAGGGAAACTTAAGAAAACAAGTTTAAATAATTTTACCTAGGGTACCATACCTGTCTTGACTGTGTCCCATGGACAGTCCAATCCTCCTAAAACTAATCCAGTTATAACAAAAAGAATTTTTTCACATTTGTATGTCACTTCAAAAGTTACAAAGTACTTTTCCCTACAACAATTCTGTGAAGGAGATAATGTAAATATTATCTCTGTTTCATAGAACACTTCAGTTAGTGTACACCCCACCTTCTGACTTCCCTATTTCTATCAATGGTGCCATCATTCATTCCATCCCTCACAAACCTTGGTATTGTCTTTAATTTTCTCACTCTCCTATCCACCCAACCCCTATTATTCCCATTTTTATAATATCTTTCCCATCCATCTCTTCTCCTTTCATATTCCTGTCACTATTCTTTTTTAAATTCAATTTGTATTTTATTTTCTGTTCCAAATTTTCCCTTCCTCCCTCCCCTATCCATTAAAAAAAAAAAAAGAAAAACATCACCCCTGGCATACCTTCTCTCCCCCTCTTTGACTATTCAGTTTAATTCAAGAAGCAGTTATTAAGTGTCTACCACTTGCCAGATACCATACTGGGGGAAAGGAGGGTAAAATCAATCCCCGCCCTCAAGAAGCTTACATTACAGAGCAGAGTGGAGTGGGGAGGAAGACCCCAACACATATACAGATAAATAAAAACAAAATATATGTAAAGTGATTTGTATTACTTTGTATATATTAAAGGGGAACAGTGGGCTCAGTAGGGGTGTAGGGAATCAGAATAAACTTCCTCTGGGAGGTGGCACTGAACTTTGAAGGAAGCTAGCTGGGTATCCTACAGGGCAGAAATGAGGAAGGCAAGTGTTGCAGGTATGGGGAGACAGACTATGAAAAGGTACAGAGATAAGAATAGAACGCCATGTTCTGGGGAGTCAAATGTGACTGAAATAAGTGTCTGAAGGAGGGCTAAAGGAGAGCAGTGATGGGCTGGAGCCAGATTTTAAAAGGCTTTAAGAGACAAAAGAATCTGTATTTTATCCTAAGGGCTTTAGAGAGCCGCTGAGCAGGGGAGTGACTTGGTCAAGACTTCTACTTTAGGAATATCAGTTTAACACCTAGGTAAAGGATAAGTTCTAAAAGAGAGAGACTAATTGTATTATATTATTATTATATAATTAGTCTCACTCCCTATATTATATAATAAGGCTATTATTTGATCCTTGACAATTCCAAAGAATTCCCGGTGAAAAATGCTACCCACCTCCAGAGAAATAACTGATGGAGTCTGAATATAGATTTAAGCATACTATTTTCACTTTATTTTCTTTCATGATTTTTTGTGTTTTCTTTCACAACATGACAATATAGAAATATGTTTTGCATGATTGCACATGTATCACCTGTATCAAATCACTTACTGCCTCAGGGAGTGGGGAGGGATGGGAAGAGGGAGAGAATTGGAAACTCAAAAAAAATTTAAAGCCTATGTTAAAAATTGTTTTTACATGCAGTTGGGGAAAAAATAAAATATCCAAAAAAGAGGCAGTCCAAATGAAAGGGAATGAACTAGGTTGGTGGTTGTGTGAGAGGAGACAGCTGCAAGATATATTAAGGAGGGGGCAGCTAGGTGGTACAGTTGGATAGAGCACAGGACCTGAGTTCAAATCTGACCTCAGACAAACATTTGACACTTACTAACTGTGTGACCCTGGGCAAGTCTCTTAACCCCAACTGCCTAAAAAAAAAGTGTGTGTGTGTGTGTGTGTGTGTGTGTGTGTGTGTGTGTATAGATATATATGTATATATATTAAGGAAGTGGAATTGACAAGACTTGGCAATTTATTTGGATGTGAGGAGTGAGGGAGAAGGAAGAGTGAAAGATAACTCTGAGACTGTAGTGGGTATACTACACAGAAATAAGAAACTTAGGAATCAGAGTAGAAGGTGGAATTTGGGGAACCAGGTAGAGACTGAGTTCTGCATAAGACTTGTTGAATTTAAAATGCCCACTCAAACAGCTGAGTGGTACAATAGAACTCAAAGCCTGGAGTCAGGAAGAACGGAGTTCAAATCTGGCCTCAGATATGAACTACGTGACCCTGGGCAACTCACTTAACCTCTTTCTGCCTCAGATCCTTCAGTTATAAAATGGGAATAATAATAGCCCCTGTCTCCCAGGTTTGTTGTAAAGATCAAATGAGATAATATGCATAAAGTGCCTGGCACATAGTATGTGTGTTTCCTTCCCTCCACTGGACCGCTGGCTGGAGATGTCCAGTAGATGGTTGGAGTTGAAGTACTACAGTCCATAAGAGATAGTAGGACTCAGCATAAAGAACAGGAATTCATCTGCATAGAGATGATAGTTAAGCCTGTGGGAGCTGATAAGACTACTAAGAGAAAGGGTATAGAAAGAAAAGAGATGACCTAAGACAGAGGCCTGGGGTACACCTTAGAATAAGAGGTAGGATTCTCCCCCAAAGGAGCCTGAGGAGCAGCCAAATAGGTAGGAGAACAACCAAGGTCAAAAAATCCAGGGAAGAGAGAGTATACAGGAAGAGAAAGTGTGCGACAATGTCAAATGCTGCAAGAGGTCAAGAAGGACAAGGACTGAGAAAAGGCCATCGAATTTGGGGATTAAAACCTTGGAGTAAGCCATTTCAGATGAACAATGAGGTCAGAAGCCAGGCTGCTTCCAATGTTGAGAAGTATGTCTAAGGTGTGAAAGTGGAGGTGACGAGCATAGACAGTTTGTTTTTTGTTTTTTGTTTCCTTAGAATTTGGTTGTAAAAGGGAAGAGAGATATAGGACAGGAGCTTGAAAGGATGGCAGACTCAAATGAAGGTTTTTAAAAGATGGAGGAGATTGATACATATTTATAAGCAACAGAGAAGGAGCCAGCAGATAAGAAGGGGTTGAAACATGGAGAGAAAGAAACCAAACTCATCCTTTAGAAACCAACTGAAAACCACTGCCTTCCCCCTTAACTAAACTCCTGCTCCCAGTAATGACATTTTCCTCTTCAGACATCCTGGATTTCAAGTTGTTTTGCACTGACCTTTTTCCTTCATTCCCCTGGAGATTTCCATGGCTTTAGGCCCTTGGAAAGTCCTCCCCTAATCCTATTCCAAATTATATTTATGTTAAAAAGTTCAGCCTCCCATGAGCACATTCTAGTTAAATAATAGTTAAAGCTGATTCTAGCTTTGCTCAAAACTTAGCTGTTACATTTGTTTTTCCCAAGTCAGCATTTGGGTCTTGTCTCTCAATCAGCCTTAGTATTAGTAGCCATCATCTTCAGAACCTGTCTTCGTTTCATCAACTGTGTCCCATAGCCAGAAGTAGACTGCCATCTGTCTCCCTTTCAAACCCATCCCTTCCCCCTTAGACTTCCATCTAAGTTCCTGTTCCTCTTCCAAGGGAAGCATTCAGGTTAGATTTAATTTATGTAGCAGAGAAATACTGGATCAAATCTTTCCTAGCTGCAATTAGCAACTTCACTGATTTCCCCATGTTGGTATAATGCCAAGAACATTGGACGAGGGGTTAGGAAAGACCTGGGTTCTAATCACAAATCGGACACTTATTGTTTGACCCTGGAAAATCACTTAATTTCTCCAAGCCTCTCTTTTCTCATCTAGAATATGGGCATAATAAGACTAATAATAACTCACATTTATATATATATATGTATATACACACACACACACACACACACACACACATATAAAATCTCACTTGAGCCTCACAATAACCTTGTGAGACAGGAACTAGATAGAGATATCTATATGATGAGGATTATAATAGTATCTCTAGACCAGGGAATCTGTTCATTATTTAATCAGGACCTGGCTGTATTTTAAAATTGTAATGCTAAGATTCTGGTAGACCACTCCTTTTGGAGATAGCTGAATTATCTAGTAATAATAAGAAGTAGTTCATATTTCTATAATGCTTTAAGGTTTACAAAAGGTTTTTGCCACAACAGCACTGTGAGGTAGGGAGATGGCATGGTGTGGTAGATAGAGCCCTGGAAATGGAGTCAGGATAGACCTGGGTTCAAATCCTACCTCTGACACTTGCTAGGTGACCACTAGCAAGTTTTTTAATCTTTCTGAGTCAGGTCCTAATTAGTTAAAATAATGAACAAATTCCCTGAAATGGTTGCATCACTTGAATTCACATTGCATATTTCCCCTGGGCTGTAACCAATTGCAGGGGGGGGGGAGGGGAAGAAGAGGAACAGAATGAAACAAGCATTTATTAAGCACTTGTTATGTGCCTAGCACTATGCTAAGGATTTTATAAATATCCTATTTATTCCTCATGACACCCCTGTGAGGTGAATGTCATTTTGACACTCATGTTACATTTGAGGAAATGAAGGTAGACACAGGTTAAGTGACTTGCCTAAAGGCCAACCAGCTAGTTAGTATCTGAGGCTGGATTTGAACTCAGGTCTTCTGACTCCAGGCCTAGCACCACCTAGCTATGATTTGCCCAGAATTACACAGGCAGTATGTGTCAGAAGCAGGAATTTAACCCAGGTCTTCTTGGCTTCAAGGCTAGCTCTTTATCCACAATACTATGCTGCCTTTCCGTATTTAAAAAGACAAAAACAAGACAGAGAATTTTTTTTTTGCTTTTTTTTTTGATGAGGCAATTGGGGTGAAGTGACTTGCCTAAGGTCACACAGCTAATAAGTGTCATGTGTCTGAGGCCAGATTTGGAATCAGGTCCTCCTGACTCTAAGGCCAGAGCTCTATTCACTATGCCACCTAGCTGCCCCCAGACAGAGAATTTTAGAGGAGGGTGTCAACCCTATTCTCAATAGGCAGAGATCCTTTTGCCAAATTACTTCTACCTCTAGGATAATAATGTCCAATTAGAGGAGTCTCCAGTCACTCAGCTATGCTGAGATGTGTACCTCTACATGCAGAGAGGAGGAACGTTTAATCCCCCTAACCTGCAGGAAGGAGTAGCAGAAGTAGAAGCTGGAGATCTTCTTAGAGTCCTGCACTTAAAGTTCTCAAATCATGTTTGACCCTGTAAAGCCTTTTCACATCTACTTTCTCATTCGTTATAACTATGTGAGGTAGATAGGACAGGCATTATCATATTTACTTTACAAAGGGAGGGACTCCCTTTGAGGCATCAAGAAGTAAAATGACTGGATCAACATCACATGACAATTTAGTGATAGAATTAGGGCTCTTTCTGTGACATGACTGTGTCCCCTTTCTAAACCCAATGTGCTGTGTCTCTCATACTCATTTCTTATGGAACGAAGAAGTCACAGTAGAAAAGTCTTCCTTTTTTCTAGGGCATGACTTTAGCCTAAGATGGGCATTTCTTAATTGTCTTCCATGCTCTGTCTCCACAGATACCACTCCCGGGACAGCCGGATAGCCATGGTGTACCCAGAGGAGGCAGCTCTCAGCAAGAGCTATGAAGGGAATGTGAATGAGAACACAGAATACTGCAGCAAGCCCAGCCTGATCTCCACTGAGATGTGAGCCCAGTGGTCCTTTACCCAAAGGGTGGGACCACCTCATGTCAGGGGAAAGTTCAGCTTAGGAATGAAAGATCGAGGAGGTCAGAGACTCCTGAAATTCTTCTTTTGTGTTGCCCAGTTTAATTGGGGCAGGTTGTAGAGGGGGATAACCTCTGTAGAACATCTGTGCTGTTTTGATAGCACAGTGTACAACTCAACACCAGAGGTCCCTGTGAGCAAGGAGTGGGTGGAGATGCTGGTAAAACTAGAGCTTGTCCATTGCTCTCCTGAAAAGCTCATGTATCCTACAGGCCAGTCAGGCTTTTGAAGAAAAAGTTGATGTGGCAATCAAGGTAGCTAGTTGGCCAGATGGCTGCATAATGCGACCTAGGCACCAAAGTGAGTTAAGTGGCAAACGCACGTTTGAGAACTCCTACCAAGTAGGAGAAGCAAATATTCCCCATGCCAAATAACACGGCAAAGTTTCCAGTGTTAGCAACTCACCCCTGCTCTGTTCTTTGCCCTGAAAAAGTACACAAAGTGCAGATTCCCCAACAGATCATTTCCCTCCCCAACTTTGCCCTCTGGGGTTGTCTGACCCTGAACAGGAGCACACATAAATCATTGTGGGAAGTGACATAACTTGGCCTCTGCAAACAAACCCTGAGTTCTCTTTGTTCCAGGCTATCCTATCAAGATGACGAGAATAGACAGCTGACACCACCAGAAGACAAGACCAGACAGTCTATGAAGAGAGGAGGATTCCTCCACTCTTCCTCACTAGGTAATTGATCATGCCTTCTCCCTTTACTGTGGCCAGACATCCCCAAAGGTCCTTTCAGCGGGTAACCTGAGGTGTGGGACTATCCCAGGAACCCTAATAGCTTCATTCCTTGCCTCCCCCATTCTTTAAAATACAAGACCATGGGGCAGCTAGGTGGCACAGTGGATAAAGCACCGGCCCTGAAACCAAACGCTTGACACTCACTAGCTGTGTGACCCTGGGCAAGTCACTTAACCCCAATTGCCTAAAAAAAAAAATACAAGATCATATATGTAAAAGTAGCTTGAGGGAAAGAGAAGGATGGCATGGAGAAGCTTAAAAGTTGGTACATTTGGGTGAATTAACTGACAGTAGTTTTCTAAACTAATTTATCCATGGAACACCTTTGAACCACAAAACACCTCTGAGCTTGAAAAATATTGACATGTTGTTGGCACAAGGGAAGAGAATATAAAGAAGGAACTGGGAATTTTGGAACAAAATTAAGGGATTAAGCCTATTTTCATATTAAAAACTTGTTGCCTCTAACAAGTACTTTTAATATATATAATTTTATATTTACAATTTGAAGAGGGGAAATTTTCTCCTGGAAACCTGTTCACATTTATGAAACTGCACTGTTCCATAAAACACAACTGAAAAATTAGGCCTAAGCCACTCCATTTCTTCATGTCTTCGACTGTGCTAATATAAAAAGGCTTTCCACTTATTTTTTTCTGTCCACTTCAGGTTGTGTGTAATCCAGTCCTCCTCCCTGGGATACCAAGATGATACCACCCAAGGCACTATGGGCTAGCTGGGAAAAGATTCTAGTCAGAGTCAGACACTCCACAGCAGAGATTAGGCAAACTCCTAAGTTTGAACCACGTGTTCTTGAACTGCTGGGCAGAGCTTCCAGAGACAAGACTTCAAAGGGGTGGGGCTTTGGGATTTAAGGACAGCATACAAAATGTCACTAAGCATCAGGGCTAAGGGTGGGAGAATAGGGGGTGCTTAGCAACCTGGCTCCCCTTATACTTTCCAGAAAGACATAAAATATCTGGCAAGCCACCAAGAAATCCTCCTGGGATGATAAAACTCTGACCCTAGTTCATTGCAATTGGTATTGCAGGTCGGAGAGCATCCTTCCATTTGGAGTGTCTAAAGAGACAAAAGAACCAAGGGGGAGACATCTCTCAGAAGACAGTGCTGCCTTTGCATCTGGTTCATCACCAGGTAACCATTCTAGAGAAATCACTGACCACTGGGGCTAAAGAGCCCTGAAGAGCAGCTGAGCGATTCCTCAGGGTGTGAAGCCCTCCTACACAACATTATTCCTACTTCTGTAAGAGTGGTGAAAGCAGGGAATGCTCTAGAGAGATGACATTATGTTATAAATAGACAGATGGACCTAGCTAGAGTTAGGATGACTGTGCTCTAATTTTCTTGGCTCTGACACAACCTATGTGACCCTAGGCAAGTCACCTGACCTCTATAAACCCCACTTTCCTCATTTGTAAAATGAGGATAATATTTGCACTAATGTTAGTTAGTTAATAAGTATTAATGAAGTGCCTACTATGTGCCAGGCACTATACTAAGCTGTTGTGAGGTAAGTTCTCTGTAAACTTTAAAGTACTATAGAAGTGTGGATCCTTATTATTGGGAAACTGTAATGATAACGTTTCCAGGGCCCCTCAAGCTGTTAACCCCTCATGAAGAGCTGCCATAAAAAAATGTTCAGAGTAGGACCACCAATTTTCCCTAAGTAGATGGGAGCCTGGGTAAGGACTGTAACTTCCCTTGATGGAGACCCAGGTAATAATGCGATTCAACAAACTCCTATTAGACCCCTCTTATTAAGAAAGATAACAAAAGAACCCCTGTTCTGAAGGAACCTATGTTCTAGGAGGGGAAGAAGTACAGTATGAGGGAAGCCAAAGATAGAGGGAACACTGACAGATGAGGGAATCCAAAGAAGTGAGGCCTGAGCTGAACTTTGAAGGAGTGATGACAAAAGAATTCATTTCAGGGATGGGGAATAGCTTTATGCAAAATAGGTACGTATACTTTGTATATTCATACTACTACGTACTTTATGCAAATATACGTAGGCTACACAATGGTCCAGTCTGGGTAGAGAGGTTGTGAAGAGAATAGGAAATAAGTCTGTAAAAGTACATAGCAGCCCAGTTACTGAGGCTCTTACATGATAGTAAGAGCTTTCTTTCTGAGGAAAAAGGTCAGTGGCACAGGACATGATGCCAGTTCTCTCCCTGTGTTGCCACAGATCATCTATTGTAAAGATTGAACTGGTCCTCATGAGCATTCAAGCAGAATTGGCCTTCCTTATAACTACATGATATCAGGAAGACAAAGTATAAGTTTGGTTTGGGACATGAACAAGCAAAAAGTTAAATGAGGTTTCTATACCAATGCAGAGCAGCAATAGCAGAGAACCTGATGAATGGTACAGATAACTTCCTCAGGAGTTCAGAGGAAGGAGAGGTCACTTCAGGCTGGCATGGGTGAGGGAGGAGGAGGGAAGGACTTGGCTGGGTATTAGCATCTTATCTCCAAGTCTTCATCACCACTACCTGGTAAAACAAAGTGTCCACAATCTCCTATCTTCATTGCTGACCATAATTGCCTCCTTTGTGTCCACAGGCATTGGCAGTGACAGGCCTCAGCCCTCTCCTTCAGAGAAGCCATTCTCCAAACACCACATTCCCCAGGCCAAGTGCCACCCCCCCAGCAACTCCTCATGGCCATGCCTGGCCCCTCCAGCCCATTCCTACACTGTGGCTAGAAGGAGCAGAGTCCAACGAAAAGCTCAATAGCAGCTTCCCTTCAATCCACTGCAGCTCCTGGTACGCAGAAAATGCCAACTGTGGGGGCAGCAGGGGCAGCACCTCCCGGAGAGCCCGGCCAGTCTCCCTCACTGTGCCCAGCCAGTCTGGAGCAGCTGGTAGACAATTCCACGGCAGTGCAAGCAGTCTAGTTGAAGCGGTATGTGGCATCAACCCCGTAGGGAGCAGGGGAGGGAGAAGCCACGGCACTGTTCTCAGAAGCCAGTGGAAATGGAGGGGATTTGCCAGGGGTCTTCAGAAAAGGAGGAAAGCAAATATCAGGATGAACTCAGCTCTTTCCCAAGTGGAACTGTATACAAACCCACTTAACCAAAATAGTCTTGACCCTCTCATTAACCTTAGAATGCTACCCTGATCCATATAGAAAGTCGGCTTGTCTACCATTTAGTTTCCCTGGGGATACTGGGTAATGAGAATAAAGGCTTTTCAGATTTATGAAGGAATCTGACTGACCAAGTGAGCGCTGATACAAAATACAGAAAAATTAAATTTAATATAATCATCAAACATCTCCCAAAGCACAGGGTGTATTTTACTAAAGGTAATTGCAGGTCAAATTATGCCCCCTGGAAACAGAGTGAGATGGCATGTACAAAGTACTTTAGTAAGCTTTAATGTGCTATTATTAATAATCATTTTTTCTTATTATGATTATGACCTCTCTCATTAAAATATTGAAAGCCACCAAATCACACATGAGTTATAATAGGCTTCTAGAAATTGGGAACCAGTGCCTCCATTCCCAAGCCCAAGTGTTAAGAATATAGGAAATATATTACCAGGTTCTTCCCAGCATAAGCCACCTAGAACAGGCTGTCTCTAACCATGACAGTGCAGACGTAGGATCAAATACTGAAAGCAGGAAGGAACCTGAGAGTACAGCTCGGAAAAGCATCCCAAAGCTAATATGAAAATATGTTTTATGTGATTTTATATATATATATATATAATATATATATACACACACACATATATATAATCTATATCAAATTGCTTACTATTTTAGGAAGAAGGGAAGGGAGAAGAAAAGGAGGGAGAAAAATTTGGAACTCAAAATCTTGTAAAAATGAATACTAAAAATTATCTTTACATATAATTGGGAAAAAATAAAATACTATTTTTAAAAAGAGAAAGAAGCATCACAAAGGCAATAATTAGCAGAAATGACTCTAGATCTAGTCCTCTGACTCTAAATCTAGCACTCTTTCTACTGTGCTATAATAACTGTCTTCAGTCATGTAGGGAAAGGATTTCACTTATTCTGCATGGCGCCATTGCAAAAGCTGAACAGAATTTTCAGAGAAGCACATTTCTACACATTGTAATGAAAAATATCTAACAATTAGAGCTATCCAGTAGTGGAATGGGCTATCTCAAGAAATAGTGAGTTTCTCATGTCCATCAGTCACAAGCTTTTATTAAGTGCTTACTATTGTTCCAGACAACAACAGCAACAAAGCCTTGTCTTCAAGGAGTATATGTTCTCGTTGGGGAGGCAACGTGTCAATAGCTAGGTATATCCAAGATATACACAGGGTAGAATGAGCATAACCTAAGAAGGAACTGCATTAGCACCTGGAGGAGGGGATTCTTCAGCAGATATTGGATGACCACTTGGGAAAAATGTTGTTGAGGGAATTACTCTGAAAGCACAGGTTGAACTAGATAAGCTCTGAAGTCCTTTCCAGCTCTGAGATTCTCTATGAGTCTGTGATTGGTTCAACCACATTTGAGTCAATACTAGATATCGCTGGATTAGGTGGCTGGAGGACAAAGTTAATGTTAAGCGTAACCATGGCAGGCCAAGGCTAATGAGCCTGATAGAGTGGAAAGAACTCTACAATTAGAGGACCTGGATTCAAATCCCATCTCTATTGGTGTACTAACTGTGAAACCGTAAACAAATCTATTAGCCCCCTTTGGGACTCAGTTTCCCCATCCACACAACGTTGGACTAGTCTTCAAGGTCTCTTCCAACTTTAGGTCTATGATCATAGATCATAATAGGTTGATGATGCCAGGTCCCTAAGCAGAGTTCCCAGGAGCTTAACCTAAGTGCACAGGCAATCAGAAAAATCATCCACTGCCAGAATCCTGAGCAAAGAAGTCTACCTTCTATAATGATTTCCTTATTTGGTTTTTCTATCTCATCCTTTTATCTCCTCCTCAGGTCTTGATTTCAGAAGGACTGGGACAATTTGCCCAAGACCCCAAGTTCATCGAAGTCACAACCCAAGAACTTGCTGATGCCTGTGATATGACAATAGAAGAAATGGAGAATGCGGCTGACAATATCCTCAGTGGTAGCAGCAAGCAGAGCCCCAATGGCAACCTATTACCTTTTATTAACTGCAGGGACCCGGGGCAGGACCAAGCAGGTGGTGAGGAGGAAGAGGGAGTGCCCAACCCCGAATGTCGAAAGAGCGAGGAGGAGCTCCAGGACAGCAGGGTTTATATCAGCAGCCTGTAGTTGCTGGGGCTGTCATGATTCGGGATTTTTTTTAATTTGTTTCAATGTTCCTAATAGGTTCGTTTCAGAAGTGCCTCACTGTTCTCGTGACCTGGAGTTAACCGGAACAGCGTTCTTCATTCATTTCTGTTGGGATGAGAGACAGAGTTGGGTGGTGATGAGAGAGAGATTTTCAGGGGAAAGAGAAGCAACAACCCCAGTCCACAGGTGTTAGAGTGGTGAGGAGGTGGAAGAATAAGGGAGGGAGGAAGAAGAGAACAGGTACCTGCCCCCTCCTTACTTCAGGCCCTATACCAGAAAGTGACAGCTGCCTACTGTGCAAGAAGGATAATATCAGTTTCCTGTGGGCCACCCTCACCAAAAGGACCCTGCATCAAATGGGTGTCTTTCAACTTTGCTTGTAAAAAAAATCATTTTTGCACATATTCTGTATGAGCCTCACTGTCTCCATAGAGCAAGGGCCCTATGGATTTGGAAAAGAAAATGGCGGCATGACTTCTGCTGAAGATCCCAACACTTTGCCAAAGGGGGAGGAAGAAGAGGAAGAAAGATGCAGGAGAAGCTATTAGGAGAGGGGAGCAGGGGGAGGGCAGGGGGAATGTATAGAAAGGTGCCACTGCAGCTACAAGCCAAGATTCCAAGGAGATTGGGCAGGCAGCTCTGGCCATGCCCACCCCTTCAGGTTAGGGTCACATTGCCTGCACAAGCCACATAGAGCTCTGCGTTAGCAGTGGTGCTGAGAAGTCAAGGCTTATGGGGATTGGCACTGCCCACTAATGTAGCTCACCTTACAAAGTAAGGTAGCACAGGGCTTCTATAGAGTGCTCATTTGTTTTTGCAGTTTTGATATTTTTCTTGGCAGCATGTTCCAGTTTCCATTTTTAATTTTGATTTCTGAGGGTTCAGGGAGGAGGGAGAGTGTTTACAGGGCTTTTAAGCCACCCACCTTATCATTTTCACTTTGGCAAATGTAAATCAGGTTTGGTTTCATTGTATTATTTAAACAGTTGTGTTCTTGTTTATTTTTGGTGATGTTGGGAGGAGGGGTTCTTTTTCCCCATTGGAGATTCATTAGAAATTGTTATAGGAGAGTTTTACCAACATTTGCGTATACCCAAGACTTTATTATTTTTTTCTTTGGTAGTAACAGAAACCTGGGGGGTGGGGGCAGGGTGTTTTGTTCTATAATTTAAAGATAGTAGGCAGTGCACTCAGTGTAATCTTGCACATGTGAGTGCTTGAGTTGGGTTCATTTTCAATTGGTTATGTTCATGGATGCCAGAGATAGAGGTATGTATGTGTGTGTGTTGATGTGCCTAGTAGGTTGAGTTGGGTGATACTGCATGGGTGTGTATGTGTATGTATGCGTGCATGCATGTGCAGTTCTCCACTCTTTGGTTTAGCCCTACAGGGAGATCTGATTCTGGGGCCATTTGAATGCAAAAACAAACCACTGTCTCTGTTTCTGAAAGGGAAATCAGTAACTCTCTGCATTTTCTGTTCCACAAGATATGCAAAAACAATGCAATAATATTAATTTTAACTACAGTTGTGAGTCATGTTGGCATTAAAACTGTATAGAGATGAAAACAACAACAACAGTAATTTAAGGGGGGAAAAACAACCCAAGAAGGAGTTTTGCTTCGATATATATTCCATGTGATGTTTTATTGCATTGATAATGTTTCTGTTGAAGAAACTGTAATACTTGAATTCAGGTCAGTTTCAGTATTTTTCAAATATTTTTTTAAAACTGAATTGCAATTGTGCCAAGCAAATATAATGAATTGAATTAAGTTTGTTTTCGAATTCACTTCTTGTATATTTGGCTGCATGTAAAGTAAACCATTTTGTATTTGGAGCGTGATAAGCTTTCCCTGTGGACTCTTTAAATGCTTTTTTTTTTGCGTAATTGGGGAAGGGGAAAGACTTTTTTTTAATGTGTACAATAAGCAAAAGCATTACTGGAGTAAGTAATTATTCTGCGGTTCTCAGCTGGGTGGGTTGGAGATGACTGATTTTGCATATCTTGTGTTTACTTTTCCCTTTCTCCCTGAATAATGGTAGAGCTGGATAGCTCAGTGCAGAACTTTGATTTCAGAAACCAGGATCTTTTTCTTCCCGTCTTCACATCCTCCAATTTTCTTCCCATCTTCACATTCTCTGCTTGGATCCTCTCAGCTGATGCTTTTCCTCTAAGATAGGCCATATCCTTCAGCTTGAGGAAGTCTGCTTGCCATAAGCCTAGCTTTCAATTCCACTGTAGCTGAATTAACGTCAGCACCATTCCCAACCTCACTCAAGGATGTGGCTAATGTCTCTTTTAATTCCCTCGCAGAAACTTTGCTTACCAGGTTCCTGGGCGTATTATATTAGAGAAATGAGGGGTGAGAATTCTGGAGAGTAGTTACTTAGTGCAGTCACTCTGAGAGCTCCCTCCTCTCAAGAACTTAATGGTAATGCCTTGAGCAAGACCTGGACTGTTGTCATTGCCTCCATCCTAAAGACTAAATCACTCTTTCCTGCCTCACATTCCACACCAGAGAATTATCCTGGATTAATTCATACCACCAGGGAGTAACAAGAAGGACCTATGGAGTTAGAGCAGATGGAGTTTAGAATGTCTTTGGAAGAAGGGACTATACTAGGAGGATTTTATTCTACACCCTTTGACATCTGCCTGAAATGCACATACTTTTTTCTTCACATATTTCCCAATACTTTTGCCTGGTAGTAAGAAAGGGGCCAAATTAGGGATTATGAAGCTTGATTCTTGAATCTTTCCCAGTCACCAGTTTTCTTTTGGTCCTTCCTATGAACTAAGTAGGCTAGAAGTCGAAATTTGGAAAAGTTCATTATTTGAAGAGGATGAGTCTTCCTACCATGTGGCACTCAAAAAGGATCTTGAAAGAATTAAAAAGAATAATTTCCTGAGGAAGATATCCTGCTAGACAAAAATCTTCAGCTTAGGTTTTAGTCCAAAGTGAATTGAAAAGTGTGCTGAAGGTATGAGTGCTTCTTCAGACTCATCTTATTTGAGCTTTCTGGTTTGTTTTTTATTGACATACAGGTCTTTTGAGATATCCTGTGACAACTACCCTGGAGTAGCTTTTATTGGGATCTCTGTTCTGATCAGGAGAGGAACTCATTAGGGCTTCATGTACTTTCCATACAATTATTCCATGTATAAAAAATGGAGATCTTATAGGATTATGCTTATCCTTTCATGTTGTTTACTAATTTTGTTCTTCTGAAATTCTCAATCCCATAACTAACTCATAATAGATTGCAACGTGAGACTATTAGGTTAACACTCATGTCAAATTATCCTGTCCATACTCCTCAGTCTTTCCTAGAGAAAATGCTTTCAAGAAAACCATAGTAACTCAAGTCTGCACTCTAGACAGTGACAGTAATAATAATAATGCCCTACCATATGCTTAAACTGCCCTAATGGTCACAAAGAAGTTCTCCCTTTCTAGATCACTGCATCTTGAACCTGATTTCGTGATCTGCCAATTTTATACCAATGATGGTGTTGTTTGTTAAAATCTGCATGCATCCAGGAAGAAAACCAGAATGTTTCATTCTTCCCATGGTAGAATAGAAACCCTGCTTGGATCCCAGGGATCAGACATCACCTTGCAAGGTACATTCACCAGCCTCATGCACATTCATCTCAGGTGACAGAATCAAAGAAGCTAATGGTTAAAGATAGTAAGAGCTTAAAGAAGTATAGATTAAGTTGGTTCAAGAACCATATGTTCCATTTTCACTTGCCCACTGTCTGATATCTTTCAGAAGCAGCCTATTTTCTTTCTAAACATTGGTTTGTGACCAACTTCAGACAATAAAAGCAAAGATTCTTTTGTCATATTATGAATCTAACAAAGTCTTTTAAGTTATCTCCCTTAGCTAACTATTTCTACAAGATTTCTCTGGACTAAAAGCAAAAATGAAACTCACTGTTATGGTTTAGCTTTATTGATGAATATTTCCATAACTTGAATCATTAGTCCTTGCTTCCACATACCCAGCTCTGTCAAAATAGTGAACATTCATTTTTTTCAGGGAAGCAGGGTCCTTGTGATTGTGACTGAGGAGTAAGACTACCAGGATTCTGTCTTTTTTCCCCCTCTCTTCACTTATTTCTTATTTCATCAGATACTTAGTTTCGAATTTCAAGTTCTTCTCTGCAATGTTGCTGCCATCCCATCACCTTATGAGAGCCATCCTTTTCCCACAAGTCCCATAAGTGAGAATACAAGGACAGGGGAAAAAATCCATGTCCTTCTCTCAACCCTTTGTAAAAAATGAAGAGCACACCATTCCTTCCTTCAATCAGTCAACAAACATTTATTAATCACCTGTTGTGTGAAAAGACTGTGCTAGGCTCTAGGAGTTACACAGTTTAAATAAGTCATGGTCTCTGCTGTCATGGATCTTACAGTTTTAAAAGGCTGGGGTTGTTTTTAAAGAAACTGGTGGCTAAATATTGCCCATCACCAGTAAGGACAGGACAAGAAAAAATGAACAGATCAAATTTAGCTTAGACTTAAGGCAGAGTTGACTGGTATGCAGAAGTTCGATTTTAGAGAATCAGGCAGTTAATCAGAAGTGATGGCATCTCCATTTCAATTCCTGGAATTATGGAGAGGAGAAATAAATGCTATCCTTGACCTAGAGAATCTTCTTAAGTCAGATATTCTGTAATTACAGTTCCAAAGAAAACCAGTAGAGTCACAAATGGAATTTTTGGAGGCTTTGCTGGTTCAATCCCATTTGGATTGAATCCCACTGAGCCTGAGCAAAGAGCTCCTACCTCCTTTAGGAAGGGAAAAAGATGGAAGGGAAGGCTATGGTCTTCTAGCTACACTTGTTTTCTCAGTCTAATCACTGCATGGAAACCACTGGTATGGACTTCTAAAGGCATAAAGTGTCTCCTTGGGAGAGAAAAAAAATGAGAAATTATTTCCTTCTTGACTTGTCCTTTCATCCTCTCAGCCAGATCATACAATTTAGAAGGAAATGGACACATTTGTATTGGTGCCATTATAATCTCTTCCTTCCCTGGGCTGTCCTCTTCTTGATATTTCTAAAGTACCTCCCAGCCCCTCACATCAGATGTATTTCTTTCTTCTTTCCCATCAGGTGGTTAAGAAAGCTTGAATTCATAGAATATCCTGACACCTCAGATCTGGTTGTCCAACAATTGCCTTTTTGGTGGGATATGTGGTGAAGGTGAAGGTCATGATATGACCAAGAGTTAAATTTCCTTCTCCCTTCCCTAATCTGCTCTCTCATTTCTTCCCTATCCTCTTTTTCCAATCCTCATACATACTATGGACAGAGAGAGATAAAAGAAGTAGCCTGTACATGTTTTGCTTTGTTTTCTGGTTTTCACTTCAACCTCTCCGTTAATGATATCACTGCCAACAAGTGACCAATGACAAATGCATTTTTAAAAATATCTCTTGATGTTTTTCAAAGCAATGTTTCTTTGCTTTGTTAAAATTAACACCAGCCTAGCAGATGGGTGGGTCTTCTGTGTTT